GAGCTTTCGTGGGCCAGACCCACTTCCTCAGATCAAATAGTGGAAGAAAGTAGTCACAACCATATATACCAAAGGATACAATTAAAAAAAAGAACAAATATGAAAAGGACAAATCACATTGCAGAACAGAAGGAGGATGCGGGGGGGTACAATTTAAAAAAATGAACAAATATGAAAAGGACAAATCACATTGCAGAACAGAAGGAGGATGCGGGGGGGTGGGAAGGGGGAGGAAGGAAGGTAAGTGTCTGTGAATTGCTGATATTAAAGGTAGGGAGAGTGGGATGTTTGTGAGTTAATGGTATTACAGGTGATAATTGGGGAAACTGTCTTGATAATGGGTGAGAAAGTTCAAAGACTTGTTAAGTCCCTGGTGGTAAGTGTCGAATTTTAACATGAATGACAGTTCAGAGGATTCCCTTTCAAGTGCAGATGTAAAAGGTCTTTGTAGCAGAATGCAGGTGGCTAAGTCATTTAGAGAGTGTCCTTTCTGGTTAAAGTGGCAAGAAACTGTTTTCTCTTTGTGATCTTGTCTGATATCTGTTTTGTGGGCATTAATCCTTTGGCGAAGTGTCTGAGAATAAGATGCTGTATAGATGCTTATTTCGAAATAGGGGGCCTCCAGCCCTTCCCAGGGTGCCCTGGTGGCTACTCTGGGCACAGCCAGGAAAACTTCCTCTCCTCTCCCCCAAACCCGGAGCCCTTAAAGGGGTAGAGTCTGGCCACAGTGCCTGTGCCAACCCCCAACCCGGGAGCCCTTAAAGGGGTAGAGTCTGGCCACAGTGCCTGTGCCACCTCCAGTTGCTGCCCCTGACTCAGTGGCCCCACCATGAGCCAGGCAGCCAGTGCTAGCCAGCCCTCCACTCCCAGGCCCAATCCCCCAGCTCCCAGGGGCCGGAGAAGGCAGGTGCCTTCCTGGTCTAGTGCAGAGATTGTGGACCTCATTAAGGTTTGGGGGGACGCCTCCAATGTCCACGATCTCCACAGTAAATGGAGGAACGCGGTCGTTTACGGCCAGCCTGGCCACCAAAGGCCACATGCAAACCCAGGAGCAGGTGCGCATGAAAATAAAGGAGTTGTAGCAGACCTATGCCAGAGCCACAGGAGACAGCTCCCAAACAGGGGCAGACACCTGCCCCTATTTTGATGCCCTGGACCGCATCCTGGAGGGCAGGATGGTCCATGCCACCCTGGGGGGTCATCGGTCCTGGAGCAGAGGGCCCTGACCAGGGCATGGAGGAGGAGCACCAGGAGCCCAGAGGGAGTGTGCCACGCAGCCAGGACTCCCCACGCCATCCCAGCAGACCCGTCACCAGTGTCATCTAGGGAGGCAACAACATGTGAGTGCCATCACTGTCCCCTTATTGGGGGGGCGGGGAGGGAGACCAGGGACCGCATGCGTGGGCCTTGCTGACCACGGATCACGCAGCAACCTGTGCATGTGTTAGCACTTGCCATGCTACCCTGGGCACATGGCTCCAGTTGGCTGCCACACAGGGGCCTTGGCCTGTTAGCCACACGCGTGTGTGAAGAGACATATCATGCTCCTGACCCCGTGTTGGGACACAGCAGGATGCCCTCCCTCCACAAGCCCCATCTACACAGAGGCAGAGGATATCTCCTCCCCCCACACACCCACACTATGTACAGCACAGGGGCATGGGTGCAGTCCCAGGGCAGCTCCCACTCCCGGGGATAGCAGGACATCCCAAACATGGCCTCTGTGGAAGCACATTGGCTCTGATGGTGCGGAGACCTGTTCTCGCCTTGCAGAGTGGGGCTGGGCTTCACCCCCTGTGTCCCCAGGGAGAACTGACCACTTCTCTTGTTTCTCCACAGCCGCACCAGCTGTGAGTGCAGGGTGCACCACCCCACCTGGGACATCTTTCCACACCCGAGGGTTCCACAGGATACCCATGCAGTGGATGGGTACCGACAGCAGCACCTGGGGGCACTGCAAGCCCTGCACCGCACCCTCCAGAACTGGGTGCCAGACCACACTAGGCACAGGAAAGTGGCCGTCTAGGGCACGATAGCTGCCAGCCTGGACACCAAAGGCCACATGCAAACCCAGGAGCAGGTTTGCCTGAAAATCAAGTTGGTCTGGCGAGACCCCCCCAACCCTGAGCCCTGAGCTTCCCTTCCCACTTCTTCCCCTTGCTTCTTCCTTCTAGCTCCCTCCTCCCAGGTTTCCCCCTCCCCTCTCCCACTCTCTTCTAACCTCTCCTGCCTCCTTTCCCCAGTATCACCAGAGTTTCATTCTCCCTCCCCCAGTTTTGTTAAAGAGTTTGTGTTCATGAAAATATGTTTATATTATTTGACATCAGGAAGGGGGGCTAGGGAGGGGTAAGTGGAAGGATGTGAGGGAGGAATGAGGCACAAGCCCCCAGTGGGTCAGACTAGGGAGGCTCTTAGTGCTCCTCAGGGTAGAAGCTCTACTGCAGGGCCTCCTGGATACTGACACCCCCCTGATGGACCTCCTACATGGTAGCCTGCAGAAAGTGCAGCCAGGCTCACAGCAATATGTCCAAGAGAAGCACTAGAGTGCCCAGGGGCAGCTCTGGCTCCATGATAGAGTGCTGTAGTATCCAGAGTAAGGGCAACCAGAGCACGCAGAGCTTGATGCAGTAAGGTGTCTTGCTGAAGCTCTGAGGCATGAGCTTTAGGATCCCCAGGTCAGCAAAGCCCTCGTCACACATCATATAATCCCACTCAAATTTTCCCACCTCACTCTTAAGACTATTGAAGATGTTTACACCCACAATTCCATACTGGTTCTGGATGGCCTTAAATGCAATTCAGCATCCAATCAGTGTGGATGTGCTACTTCAAAATAGCAAAACGCTATTTCAAAATACATTTTGTGTCTAGACGCATTATTTCAAAATAACGCTGTAGTGTAGACATACCCTGAGAGCCATATTGTGGATGTATTTCTGAACAAACTACTCAAAAACTGGAGCCGAGCAAACCACTACCTATGGCAAACACCCATTCTGGCATGGTTCTTATTTTGCTTATTGTGACAATGTTGCTTCCTGCAACCAAAACGCTGGTTGGTTGGTTGGTTTATTTTTAAAAGACTTGCTCTAAAGGCTACACTTGCTGCTGCTGTAAGCAGTCTGTCCTGTCCAAAGTGATTGATTGTTTGATGTTGACAATGTTAAGTGATGAGTCTGGTCACTCATAAGTCAGACACATATTTGCATATTTTCCGCTTCTCTTAGAATCATAGAATACTAGAACTAGAACTCGAGAGATCATCAAGTCCAGTCCCGTGCCCTCATGGCAGGATCAAGCACCGTCTAGATCATCTTTGATAGATGTCTATCCAACTTGCTCTTAAATATCGCCAGTGAAGGAGATTCCACAATCTCCCTAAGCAATTTATTCCTGTGTTTAACCACCCTGTCTGTTAGGAAGTGTTTGCTAATATCCAACCTAAACCTCCCTTGTGGCAATTTAAGCCCGGTGCTTCTTTTCCTATCATCAGAGGCTGAGGTGAAGAATTTCCAGCCCACCCCCTTGAAACACCCTTTTAGATACTTGAAAACTGCTATCAAGTCCCCTCTCAGTTTTCTCCTTTCTAAATTAAATAAGCCCAGTTCTTTCAGTCTTTCCTCATCGATCATGTTTTCTAGACCTTTAATCATTTTTCTTGCTCTTCTCTGAACCTTCTCCAGTTTCTCCACATCTTTCTTGAAAAGTGGTGCCCAGAACAGAACCTTCTCCAACTGAGGCCTACTCAGTGCAGAGTAGAGCGGAAGAATGACCTCTTGTGTCTTGCTCACAACACTCCTGTTAATGCATCCCAGAATCATGTTTGCTTTTTTTGCAACAGTGTCACATTGTTGACTCATATTTAGCTGGTGGTCCACTATGACCTCTAGATCCCTTTCTGCTGTACTCCTTCCTAGACAATTGCTTTCCTTTCTGTATGTGTGAAATTGATTGTTCTTTCTTAAGTGGAGTAGATATTTCTCAGAATTACTCAGTTGTGAGCAAACTCGTTCTGAGATTTAGCCAGTTGTCCTCCTGCCACTTATAATGGCAGACTTGCAAGAGGATGAAGAAGGATATTTCCTTTGTTTTTCCTTTTTTCATTCCACATCTATTTGAAAATCATCCCAGCGACTGTCTGTCATGGTCTTTTCAACACAGCTCATCTCTAAAACCAAATAACCCACCAAGTTTTCCACTGAAGCGTCGTGCTGGATTCCCATGTTTAATTCTTTCACTGTGTTTTATCTGCTCCCTCTCCTTTTAAAATGGTGTGGTCACTAATGGCTATTTGATAAGCAAGAGAAGAGAGGGTGCGGGAAACCCCTAGCAAATTCCTGTGACGGAGAAAAGAAAACAGTTTTGAGTGCTGTCCTCAAAGCCACCTCCAAAACTTGGTGTTCCTGCCCAGTTTCTAACACCACTATAAGCATTCTCCTCTATTATTTATTTTGCAGTAGTGCCTACCTCTCCTGCTCATAAGTCAGGGCCCCACTGTGCTAGGCGCTGTACAAACACAGAACAGAACAGTGGTCCCTGCTGCAAACAGTTTCTAATCTAAGTGTCATCTTCAGGACATTTCAGTTCTTTAATAATAAAGTGCCATGTCTTGTTGCCTTGAGTCGACAAGTTTTCTTCCGTCATTGGGAGTTTTGCTGAGTAAGGACTGAGTACAGACTGACTAAGGACCCCATGATCTTTACTGAAGAACACTTTTCCATATACTCTTGAAAGCCTTTGATTTGCGCAATAGCAACTGACTGTGAATGTTCTTGTCTAAAGTCAGTTATCCATAAAACAATGGCTTGCCTGCACTGTCAGGTGATCACAGGCCAGATCTCATTTTGGCTTAGGAAAGCTATCTCATAAATCACCCCTTTCTTGGGTCTACATTGGGTTTTATTAGTTTTGGGCTTTCACTCACATTTTTGGCTTTGTTTTTGTCTTTGTGTTATCCTTTCCTTACATTGCCACGTCGCCTTCCTGATGATGGAACACAGCCATGGGATTGACACAGAGCTACAGTGTAGGTGAGACCTTGAACTGAACTAGGAGGCCTGATTCTTTATCACCTGGCACCTGTGTAGATACTGATTGCTGTAAAACGTGCGTGTGAAATGCCACCATTCTGATTTAGCAGTGGTTATACCTTGCTTTGTACAGGTAAATCTACAAATCACAGGACAGTGGCAAATCAGGCCCTTTAGAAGCGTTGAGAAAAATATCTTTTTCTTGTCTCGGATTTTTAGGTCATTGCTTTTGCACCATGTTTCTTCTGAAGATTGTATCATTTTTCTTAGTCACAGAAAGCTCAACATTCCATCCATGAATTTATCCTGCCTTTGCACTTTTCCTCTCTCTTATTCCTTCCTCTTCTTTCTGTATTTTTGGAACTTCTGAGCAGGTCCATTTAGTCAAATTTTAAAATGCCAGCTTTTCTATTTTTTTGGATCGACTGAAATTATCTGGGTCAGTGTTTCTCAACCAGTGGTATGAGTACCTATAGGGGTACTTGAGAGAAGTCTGTGGGTTACCTCAAGACAACTGAAATTTGGAAAAAACTGAATTTTTGTTTTAAGTTTTACACCACTTTATTATGTTTGCACTTTTTACACTCAAAAATTTTATCGCCCACCCAGCTATATGATTAAGTTGTTTAAACAAATGTGTTGAAATGGTAAAAAAACAAATGTGTGTCTGAAAACTGTAGGTACTAGGGATACTTACAATTTTTTTTTAAAAAAGGGGTATTTTATTTAAAAAGGTTGAGAAACACTGATCTGGGTTAATAGTTCTCTGCTGAAATACAGATATGCCTGTTAACTATTAGAATCCTGTGTACTCCTTTCTGTGACTTCACCGTGCCTATCGCTCTTCTGATTGCTATTAACCATCTGCTCTAGCATTTTGCTTTGCTGTTTGCCTAAGGCCATAGAGGTTGACACCATTTTGTGAAAAGGCCCCATTTTATTCAGAAGTTTTCAAAATGTCTTTGATTAGCAGTGGGCTCTCTTGTCACTTGTAACAGACTGTAACCCCTGTGTGCCAAAGGCAGTGACACAGAAGTAATTGTTTACCAAGAAAAAAAACCAAGAAATTGCTACCTGCTGCAGTAATCTGTAAGTGCTATCCGTTGTCAGGGGCAACGGTCCCATTCTATGGCTAGCCAGGTTACATCAGCTTACAGAATATGAGCAAGTCTATTCCTTTCTCTTAAATATCAATGGCTCTTGCTTCTTTTTAACTATTCTCTTGCTTCTTCTTGTCGGAATATGCCTTGTAACCAAGCAGATGCCCATGAGAGAAATGATACGTGCTATCCGTTAAGAAACTACAGTCACTTTTAATTTAATGGCTACAAGGGAGTTAGACTTTTACGTCTGGCATTTTGTACAAAAACCATAAACAACATCTTTTGGAGCAGGGAGGTGTCACATGCAAATGGCCATTATTCCAATCGAGAGATCATCTAGTAAAGAAGTTTCAGTGCATGCTGCAAACATAAAATTATATTAATATGAGATATTTAAGATAAAAGTAGAAACAAAATGAATTGAAACGATGTCTAAATGAAATGTTTTTACCTTATGTTTTGAAATGATTAAAACACAATGAGAATGTAAATGATTTGTTTGGACACTTTGTTATTGACAGTGGTGTCAAAAACAGACATGTTCCCATGAAACATTTTTGTTCGACAAACTTGTGTTTTCTGACAGGGAAATGGTTTCATAGAAAAATATTTGACCAGCTCTGGGCCTAATAGTGAAGAGGGTGTATGCCCGTTCTTTCAAATTAAGATGTTCAGCATTAGACATCTAACTTTGGGGCTACGTCTAGACATCTTTTGAAAAAGCCTCATTCGAAAAAGAGCGTCTAGACTGCAACCACTTCTTTTGAAAAAGCGATCCGCTTTTTCAAAAGAAAGCACCCAGGCAGTCTGGATGCTCTCTTTTGAAGAAGCCCTGTTTGCATTCAAAAACACCTTTTTTCAAAAGAGCACTTTTGAAAAAAGGTGTTCTTCCTTGTAAAATGAGGTTCATCGAAGTAAAAAAAAACCCGCTGCATTATTTTGATTTGATTTCGAACATGCGGTGGCAGTCTAGATGCAGGGGAAGTTTTTCTCGAAAAAGGCCAATTTTTTTCGAAAAAATCCTGTAGTGTAGACACACCCTGTGTTAGTTAGGGAGCTACATGAAAATGGCTTTGAGCACTGGCTTTCATCGCCTTTGGTGGGAATTAGCACTTCTTAACCATCTCTAATTTTATGCTTTTATGTTTTTCCTTAATATCTAGAGAGGTGCCGAGGGGGCCACACACCTTTATTTTAAAGATGGTCTGGTGTATAAGCCAGGCCCAAGTTAAAGAGGGTGAATTTGTCAAGCAGACCATCGTGTTGGGGAAGAAGGAGCAATCCAAAGGTGGAGGCAGTATTGTCTAGTGGCTAGAGGTCTGTACTGGGACGCAGGGCACCTGCATTTTATCCACTGCTGTGTACAGTGAATGGTTTCCCCCCTCTCTGCACCTCAGTTTCCCCATTGCTAAAATGGAGTTAATGATGATGGCCTCCTTTGTAGAGTGCTTTGAGGTGTGCTGATGAGGAGCCCCCTTATCAGAGCTAGATGGGAGTGTTAATAAAGATTAAGGAGGATTTTGGAAACACAAATGACCTTTAAGAATATGAGAATTGTGCTTGTTTTAATACATTTTGAACTACAAGGCTGTGCCATAACTTGTAAGGCTGTTACCCAGACCTCCGATTAGCCTGGATCTTATGCAGCTTATCTTTGATTTACTGTGAATTTCCTTGGGACTGGGAAGTTAGGATCATTTGGCAACTACTGGGTTAACCAAAGTGGGATGAAAAATGATCATCTGATCTCTGGCAAAAGGCAAAGGGAGAGGGACTTTTCCTGGATATTCAAATGTGCTGCCAGGATGCTAGCGGATCGGCATGACACTGGTAAACAGCTTCCAGCTGTAGGGAAGGCACAATGTTTTTTCATCGTGGCTTTCTTTGTATGCCACCCTTTTCCTTAAAAGAGATGGTGTCCAAGAGCTAAAAAGAGAGGCCTCCAGCCTTCACAGTGCAGCATAGGGAAGCTAAATGAGTCTCTCATTGTCTTACAGCGAGCCAGGACAGATCAGGAAACTGCAAACCCTGTATTGTCTTGTCCCCCAAGCCAAGTGACCTGTTCTCATCCTGATCAATGATGCCTCCATCAGGGCCGGCTCAAGCCATTCCTGCGCCCCGGGCAGTGGGCACATGATGCATGTGCAGCTCCGCCCCCAGGTGCACGGCGCATACGCGGCCCTGCCCCTTGGTGTGCTGCACACCTTATAGCTGCAATCGGGCGCACGGTGCCTGATGGCAGCTCTAAGGGGTGCCACGGAACTGGGCGCGCAGCGCCCCTTACAGCTGCCATCAGGAACCCCCCATAGGTTGGCGTCCGGGGCTGCTGCCTGGCTAGTCCCCCTCCCCCCCTTAATCCGGCCCTCGCCTCCATAAGTAGCTGGCACTTGTTCCTCTGACACTCACTGGTGTTTCTGGCTCAGAATCAATTTCTCAGCTAGTGGAGTGGGACTAATAAAGACTCTCCTGATTGCATTTCAGGAGCAGATCCCTACCTGATTATCAAGTGTGAGAATCAAAAAGTTCGTTCTGCCATCCAGAAAGACACCATCCATGCCATTTTTGACACACAAGCAGTTTTCTACAGAAAGAACATGGAACGTTCCATTATTGTCCAGGTAAGGAAGGGAATCCCAGCACCCTGCAGCAAAGTATGTGCTCCCAAAAGCAGCCAGAGGAATGCTAGGGCAGGGGAAACAGACAGGTTTGTCCACAGCATCTGTGTGCCGCTTATACAGCAATGCAAATGGAAAACCGCAGTGGGTTTTAAATAAACATGACATTGATGAGCTAAAGGTCTGACAAATGTTAACTGCTTCTTCACAAGATCAATACCCAGAACTGTGGCTGCTGGTGCAGAAGAATGTGAGAATTACTCCTTAATGTCCCAATGGATAGAGCAATTTATATTGATTCTCTTGTATCCGCCTTCCAAAATAGACACCATTAATAATACCTGGGTCTTATGCAGCACTCTTCATTTGTAAACTGCAAGGCAGTTTACAAAGCTGGTTAAACACTTCCATCCCTGTTTTCTAGCTGAGGAAGCTGTGGCATAGAACAATTAATGGATTTGCCCAAACTCACGCATTGAATTAATGGCAGAGCCAGGATTAAAACCCAAGAACAGAATCTTTTGACACACCAACCTGTGTGGTTTAATTGATACAGACCACATCAATTTCTAAGTATGAGGAGCATGAGTGTTTAGATTAAAAGCCAGTGCAGCTATGGGACCATACCCTCATTGAAATGACAATTTATAATCGCTTAGTACCATAAGAATGTAAGAAAAAATGAAGTCTTTTTTCTCCTCCTTGCTTGAGTCAGTGCTTCTGTAGGATTTTTACAAATAATCCATAACTCCATCTACTCCATTTAAAGCACTGAGAAAAGAGTGCCAGAGAAGAAAGCTAGCCTGACAATGCTGTAAGAGTAGGTTACAAGTAGTGACTATTTCTGACTGTTCACTACACTATACCTAGAGTTCCACTGGAGCCATTCTCTGAGCGGAAAGGTTTCTACTCCATCCACTATGAGCAAAAGGAGGCTGAGAGAAGAGGTATCTCAAAGCCTTTGGAATGCAATCAGAGTACGAATGTAAGCTAATAACACAAGTAAGGGAAACAATCTGTTTCCCACTCAGGTTCCGTCTACACAGCTTCCGTCTTCTGCAAAAGCCTATGCAAATGAAGTGTGGATTAGCATATTGTGCTTCATTTGCATAATTATGAGATGTTTTTGCACAAGAGATTTTTTGCAGAAAAAGGCGCCATCTACACAGCGCCTTTTTGCACAAAAACCCCCTCTTGCGCAAGAGCCGTTCTTCCTCGTTTTTTCAGGAAGAACAGCTCTTGTGCAAGAGGGGGTTTTCTGTGCAAAAAGGCACTGTGTAGACAATGCCTTTTTGTGCAAAAACCTCTTGCACAAAACGGACCCTAATTATGCAAATGAAGCATGGCAGTATGCTAATCCATGCTTCATTTGCATGGGCTTTTGCGGAAGAGGGAAGCTGTGTAGACATAGTCTCAGTGTGGGCAGATTTATAAGCCTTCTGGAGGTCAATCTACACAGCCCCTATCACCTCCATAACACTTGACACAAACTCCCACTTTTCCAAGTTAGTGGAGAAAAAATTAGAGAAAAACACAGCTGAGTACTTCAGAATTACAGTGCTTCACAGGCCGAGCCAGATGTATGCCCCTGTGAAGATTGTCGTGTGTCACTGTGGCAACAGACACCAACCTAAACGGTACTTAAATTGGCAATGAAGGATTAC